AACCCGCAGGCTCAGGTAATCCACTCACCTCAGCCTCCCAAAGGCGTGGGATTACAGGCTGAGCCACTGAGCCCGGCTTGCGATTTCTTTAGAAAACATACTACAGTGTTGTAAAAGAAATGCTACAATTACATACATTTTAAGCAGTTTTGGGATTATTAAAATTCTGACAGCCCACTACCCAAATACATTCTGTCTTTGTAGGCTGGAGGCCCAAAGAGGCTTAGAGAAACCATTCTGGTCTCGGTTGTGTTCCCATCCTGGCCCCACAGCTTGTTGCCTGCCTATGAGGGGCTTGCTGTGTGCTGGGTGCTCGAGGCCTGCCCAGAGACAGGGCTGGCAGGCGCTGACCCCAGAAATGCACACACCTGGCAGATACCATGGTGATCACACATGCTTGTGTCCATGGTGCGTTTAAGATATTTTCCTCATCTCTAAAATACAAATCTTTAACTGTGTAGTCAAGATAGTGGAAAAAATAAACATTTCCTGTAATGTTCTTCTAAACTGTTGGCACGTGTGTCTTTGCAGTTTTTCCTTATTTCCCTTTTAAACAAGATTTTAGGATCTTCCGATTTTGCGTGTACTGGCTGTGTGGCTGTGCTTACTTTACCTGTCTGAATACATCAGATTGTGACTTTTGTGATTTTTAGCAGACCTGTCATCCCAGTTGACTGTGATGACTTTGTAGTGAACTGGAAGTTTTTTTGTCTAATTCTTTTTTTTTTTGAGTTGGAGTCTCACTCTGTCAGCCAGACTGGAGTGCATTGGCCGCTCCCAGCCACCGCAGCCTCGACCTGCTGGGATCTGGCGATCCTTCCGCCTCAGCCTTCCAAGTAGCTGGAACTATAGACGTGCACTACCACGCCCGGCTAATTTTTGATTTATTATAGAGCTGAGGTCTCACCAAGTTACCTGGGTGTGTCTCAAATCCGCGGGCTCAGACAATTCACTCGCCTTGGCCTCCCAAAGTGCTAGAATTACAGGCTGAGCCACCAAGCCCGGCCTCTTTTGTCTAATTCTAAAAGGTATGCATGCAAAAACATAAAAAAATCAATGTGTACAAAATGTAGTGGGTACAAAGAAGAAAACCATTGTCACTTGTGGTCCCACTGCCTGTGGGAAGTTACTGTGCCTGTCCTGACGGCATGTTTCCTTTGACGTGTCTGTTCTGCTACGCTTTGCTGACAGCCCTGAGGAACTTCATGTTGCCAAGGGGTGTGCTTTCTTCTTTTTTCATAGTTAAGATGAAGCTAGCTGTGTGGCCCCAGAGAAATCACTTAACCTCTCTGGACTTGTTTTCTTTTCAGCAAATTGAAAGGGTAGAATAATGAGTGCCAGGGTCTCCCTGTTCTTCTAGTCCAGGAATAATGTCCAGTTTGCCATGAGTATAAACAGTCTGTGACTAAGGATCTGAGAACCTTTGACTGACCTCACATACATGTAGGCATGGCATTTTCCTCCTCAAATGTGAATCCAGGAGAATGCATTTGCACGGGAGGTGCCGATGGTGGAGGCACTCCCACCTCCCAAATCTGACATGAAGGTGGATTATGGGCAGCCAGTGGGCTTCTGGGCATGCCTCAAGCCCTCGACATGGATAACTGACTGCTCTTGCCTAAGACCGGGAGAGTTTCCTGTTAGCACTGGGCACTGTCTGGTGTCTCCATATTTCAGAGTTCAAGATGAGCCACCTCCTGTGTACACACTTCAAGGCATGACACTCTTTTTCCCCTGCCGAGATCTTATTTGTGTCCTCAGTACACACAGCTTGGCAAGTGGAGGTGTCTTGGCTTGGGGGCAGGGCCACAGAGACCCGGGCATGGGACTTTCCCCATGGGCTTGCTCTGACCAGCCCACTCCAGCAGATGGTGGTCTGTGTGCCTGCCTGATGTGCTGTGCCCATACCATGCAACCTGTGTGTAAGGTGCTGGGAGGGCAGCTGCCCCGGTGGTGGGTGCTGGGCCCGTTCTGGCAGCTTGAGGTCTAGCCCTTCCAGGATTGGCTTCTGGGAAGAGGTGGCATTTGAGAGGGTGTGGGAGAGGCTGGGGTGTCAGGCAGCTGGGGTGTGGGAGAGGCTGGGACGGGGTCAACTGGCACCAGCAGAGTGGGGAGGTGATCCCGCTTGACTGTAGCATGGGGTGCGCTTGACGTTGGGCCGGATGAAGTACAAGGTGTGTGTGCTGTGGGCTATTCCCCACTGGCAATGTTCTGATTTCCTATTATTTCTACCAAAAGTGTTATAATAGACATGTTCATGTGCAAGCATATGTGCATACAAAGTGTATGTTACACAGTATGCACACACAGACGATGTACATTCTTGCACACTGGCACTACCTTCTGTACAACAGACTTTCAACCAGTATTATTGATAGTGAGTTAAAACTATTAACCTGGATTGTCCCAGCTACTCGGGAGGCTGAGGCAGGAGGATCACTTGAGCCTAGGAATGTGAGGCCAACCTGGGCAACACAGCAAGACTCTGTCTCTAAAACAAAGTAATAACAACAGCAGAAAGCCACCAACTTGGAGGACTGAGTGAAGAGGGAAGATGCAGACAAGTCTCTTGATGACATGGTCTTACCCCTCCCACATGTATGGCATATGTCCATCTTTACACGTAACATGTGGAAAGAGGCAGGAAGCACGCTGGACAGTTCACCCTGGTCATTTCAGGCACAGAGATGAGAAAAATGTCCTGTAGTGAAAGGGAAAGATACTCATGGCTGAAACTGTTCAACATACTGTTGCATACAGCATTCTCTCTATAACGGCTGGTGTGTAACTCTTTAAGATTGACTAGGTCTAGGGAGGAGACTGGGAGTGTTATAAGTAGAAATGTGGTTTGCAGGGAAGAGGTGATGGTGAGCGATTTGGTCTTTGATTCTCTGGTCAATTTTAGACAAAAGGAAGGAGATTGGGACTGGACCATGGCAGGCCTTGTGTCTGGGCCAAGTGGCTCATCCTAAGGGTACCAGGAAGACTACCTGACCATTGCTGGTGGGTGGCACTTGATTTCACGGCACCTGGGAGGGGTAGGTTTCTGTCACTTACTGGGTTAAACTTGAGGCTGTTTTGATTATCAACACCTACGAAAGCGTAATAGTCAGTGTATTTTTTTCCCTTTCAGATCTAGACCTGCAGACAGAGTGTTTTGATTTTAAAATGAGGTGGCCACAGACAAGACTTCATTTTAAGGCTGGGAAGAGATTCTTATTGACTGGGTTTTATCCTGCTGAAAATCAAGCACGGTAGCCGCATAGCACCGAGGGAGAAGCCTGTGGTTTTGGTGTTAGGGCTGACTCCGTGGCACATTAAGGAGACAGTTTATCTGGTATCTTGGTTTTTCTTGGTATTAAGGAGATATCCTATTTTCTGCCTGACTGAGAATTTTAAGTTTAAACTGAAAGGTAAAATCTGAGATGGGGTGTGTCATTTCTTATTCAACCTTAAGGTGTCAGTACTGTTTACTATGTTAATGCTAAAATAATTCTGTAAAACTTCTCATGGTAACACTTTTTCCCCTGTCATTGATTTCCAGTTGTTTTGGAGAATCATGTAGTGACGGATGAAGATGAGCCTGCCTTGAAACGCCAACGACTGGAGATCAATTGCCAGGACCCCTCTATAAAGGTGAGAGTAATTATGTGCTGTGTGGCATAGTCTTTTAGGACTGTGGTAACAAATCACCAAAAGCAGGGTGGTCTGAAACTAAAATTCATCCTCTCTGTGTCCCGGAGGCCTGAAGTCCAAACCAGGTGTGGGCAGTACCCACGCTCCCTCTAAAGGTTTTAGAAATGGGCCCTTCCTGCCTCTTCCAGCTCCTGGTGGCTCTAGGCATTCCATGGCTGTGACCATGGCTTCAGCCTCTGCCTCGCTCTTGTATGGCCTCCTCCTCTGTATCTGTGACTGCTTCCCTTTGCCTCCTGCTAAGGACTTGTCACTGGATTTAGGGCCACTCTGATCCAGGGTGATCTCATTGACCTAATGACATCTGCAAAGACCCTTTTTCTAAGTAAGGCCCCATTTCCAGGTTTTGGAGGCTGGGAGGTAGGACTGCCATTTCTGGGAGTCACCAGTCACCCCGCTGTAGGAGAGCACACGCCTTTCCCCTAGAAAAATGTGGAGAGCTGTGATCGTTTAGACTGGGTCTGCTGCCAGGTGAGGCATCTTCCCATGGACCACGGGCCTAAGTGGTCACCATGGCTCCATTTCCCACTGGCAACAAAGTGCGTCTGTGCCCTTCTCTTAACTCACCTAAATTCTAGAGCTTACCAGATGGGTTCTTGGACCCTCTCAGTCTGTCAGTGATCTGGGATCTTTGTACGTGCCTGCTTGGTTCCATGTTTGTGGAGTCATGGAGGTGGGCATCAGCACATGGGGAGTCCACCAGAGCAAAGCCACTTCCAGACGTTCCTCTAGTTATATGGATGTATGCTTAGAAATATCCAGTTCATTTTGTTATGAGGGAGTAGCAGCGTAAACATATATGGCTGATTTGAAAAAATATTCACAGTAAAATTTCTGTTTTAGACCAGAGGATGCAGTTGCATAGTGAACACTGCTTTATCATTTCTTGAGATGCAATTATAATTTAACACAAAACACACATTTGTTGTAAGCAACACAGAAGCATATACAGTAAGAATGCACATGGCCCTGCCTCAGTCCTGGCCCTTCTGTGAGTAGGGTGTACGGCTGTGTTTGAATCTTGCCCACATTGCTTTCTCTGGCACATGTGACAGTGTTTACTTACCAAGTGAATTTAATAAATAGATTTGAGTAGTTTATGGTTACTATCACTTGTATATAAAAGACTTATTTGGAAATACTCTTTCCCACTCTCTCTTCTTCATTATTAATTTGTTTGTAACTTGTTTTGTTAGTCTATAGTAATGATTATCACCCAAAACCCAAGCAGAATCATTTCTTTTTATTTTTTTGAATTGGAGTCTCACTCTGTCACCCAGGCTGGAGGGCAGTGGCCTCGACCTGGTGTGCTCAGGCGATCCTTCCACTTCAGTCTTCCAAGTAACTGGAACTACAGGCATGCGCCACCATGCCCAGTTAATTTTTTGATTTATTGTAGAGATGAGGTCTCGCCAAGTTGCCCAGGCTAGTCTTGAACCTGCAGGTTCAGGCGATCCTCTCACCTTGGCCTCCCAAAGTACTGGGATTATAGGCATGAGCCACTGCATCATTTCTAGATCAGATTTAGTATGGTTTTACTGTGGTTAAAGAATTCAAGAGCCAAGCAGTTTGTAAAAATAGTGGGGTTATCAGTGGTCTTATCTCAAGACTTCAGCCACCCACACCTTCCTCTTAAGAGGATGACCATTTGGCTGTACCACTGACTCACCTCTTGCTGGGTGAGGGGACTAAAGGTCAGCATGAGGGTCGGGCCTACCTGCCCCCGTTGCTGTGACCTCTTGTACACTGATCCAACATCGGAGGTGAATTTATTTTTTATTTTTAAAACTTTTATTTATTTTTTGAGTTGCAGTCTCACTCTGTAGCCCTGGCTGGAGAACAATGGCACATTCATGGCCACCGCAATCTCAACCTTCTGGGCTCAGGTGATCCTTCCATCTCAGCCTCCTGAGTAGCTGGGACTGCAGATATATGCCATCATGCCTGGCTAATTTTTGATTTATTGTAGAGACAAGGGCTCTCCAAGTTGCCCAGGCTGGTCTTGAACCCCTGGGCTCAGGCAGTCCCCTCGTCTTTGCCTCCTAGAGTGCTGGGATGACAGGTGCGAGCCACTACACCTGGCCAGAGATGAATTTCAGTTGCTTCTTTAGCATTTCCCTTTACACATTAAGGCTTCTGTGACGCGTCTTGTCTAGAGGGATTACCTGAGGCAAACGTGAGTTGTTTGGACAATGCGTGGGTTTTCTTTACTGTGCTGCTGCCCTTGCTGCTGCATGCACCAGGAAATTAGACAGATGCATTGATGTTCTGTAGCAGATGCGCCCCACCTGTTGCACACACAGGTGTCCATTTCCTCCTTGCCTGGGTTTTGATGAGCTGTGTAATGGGCTGCATGGCGCTGCTGTAACCTTGCCGTTCTGTAGGTTCCGTTCACACAGAAAGCAGAGTGGGCTGCACCCCGTGCTGCGGCTTGTACCCCGGCTGCACCCCGTGCTGAGCAGGGTTGTCCTGCTGGCTCAGTGGCTTCCACGCCGTCTCTGCTGTCCCACCTGCCTCTGTCCTGACAATGTGTCTACTTTAAGTCCAGGAGAGAAAAGGAGAGGGAAAAGGCAGAAGGAAGACACGTTTCTCCTCATCTCCATCCACTGACTCTCTTGCCACTTGATGGGCTGGTGGGTGCCTGTCAACCTGCACTTTCGGCACCGAGGCCTCTCCTCTGTTGAGTCTGGCTTCAGGGATCTTTACACAGTGGCATTCCCACGTGATGGACACATATCCGTGGGGGTTCCTGGTGGTCCTGGCAGGGCCAGTGGTTGGGCAGGTGCAGCACTGCCCTGTCTGGTGTGTCTTGGTTTGGACTCTTGCCTGTCATCATCTGCCATGATAACTAGTAGCCCGCACTAGATGCATGCCCAACAGTCAAACATGAAGCCACCATTCAGGACCACTAGGTGGCAGGCCTGCTGCTCAGGAGACTGGGAGCCTCCTGCGCTATTCCGTGGTCAGGCAAGCCACGGTGCTTGTCCCCCCGCAGGGCAGCTGGATGTGAGGTGACTGCACGTGGCCAGGGGCTTGTAGGCTGTTTTGAAGTCAGGTGTTGTCTGTTTTCTTCGTTAGGAAGATTTGACTAGTTTTATGTGTACATTTACTGATTGATAACATATTCAAGACCACACGAGGGCCAGGTGCGGTGGCTCGCGCCTGTCATCCCAGCACTTTGGAAGGCGGAGGTGAGAGGATTGCCTGAGCTCAAGGGTTCGAGAACAGCATGAGCAGCTTGGTGGGACCTCGATTCTACAATAAATTAAAAAATTTAGCTGAGCGTAGAATCACTCACCTGTAGTTCCAGCTACTTGAAAGGCTGAGGCAGAAGGACTGTCTGAGCCCAGCAGGTTGAGGCTGCACTGGGCATGAGTGTGCTACTGTACTCCAGTTTGGGTGACAGAGTGAGACTCTGACTCAAAAACCAAACAAAAAACACCCAAAAAGCAAACAAAAAAATCACACGAATTTCTTATTATTTGGGCTTAACTAAGAATAGCAACTGCTCTTAGAAGTAAAACCACGATTAATCACATTTTTATTAATGTCGTTCTGTAAGTAGCCACATTTATTTGTAAAATGTGACTTGTATTTAAGATGTGAATGTGTTTACATGAGCGTTTCTGGCTCCTGGCCCCAGTGTAGGGATCGCTGTCTTGGAGCAGACGTGGTTGAGTTGGGAAGCAGCGACACAGTGCCTCTTGGAGTCATCTCCTGCCAATGTGAGCTCTCCTGTCTAAAATCTTTCTCTTTTTCACTTCCAGTCATTCCTGTATTCCATTAACCAGACAATCTGCTTGCGATTGGACAGCATCGAAGCCAAGCTACAGGCCCTTGAGGCTACTTGCAAGTCGCTGGAAGAAAAGCTGGATCTGGTCACAAACAAGCAGCACAGCCCCATCCAGGTGCCCATGGTGGCAGGCTCCCCACTTGGTGCAACCCAGACGTGCAACAAAGTGCGATGGTAAGAGCAGGCTAGGCGGCCTCGGGGTCCCCATGGGGGGCATGGCATCTCCTCGCCCGCTGGTGCTTGGTGGCTCAGCACGTGGAGGTGAGGGTGTCTGCCCCAGCGGTCATGGTGCTGGCTAAGTTAGACTGAAACCAAATATATGATTCCCTGCCAGGCAACTTGAAATCATTCCTACTCTGGCAGAAGCCAACCTGGTGCATCTTTTCTTTGGAGCTCGCCCACCAGGTCCCTGGAGATGTGCATGGCTTCTCTGCTTTTTCCTACTCTGTTTGCCGAGTCTTTACATATTCTTTCTTCATACGTGGTGGTTATAAATTTCATTTGAGTATGTCAGACTTTCCATTCAAGTCTGCAATTTTGATTGCGCTTATTTTAAGAAGAGATGCTTAGAGTCTGTCAGAGAAAGGTGCAGTCATTTACCCATTGCTTGAACGGTGACTTAAGTCCTTAGCTGATTGGGAAGCTGTCCCAGGCAGTCCCTGGCCTGCTAACGTGTCTGCTCGTTCAAGGCAGCATATCATCCTCAGCCCTCAGGTCACTGTTCTGCTGCCCTTGGCAGCCTTTCCCCTGCTTGGCTACGGGAAGGCCTTGCTGTGGCAGTAGGCAGCTGTGTCCTGTTCGTGGCAAGGGGTGGGGCTTCAGGCCCAGGGCTGTGCTGTAGGTTCCCTGGCCTGCGTGTAGCCTCCTGCCTTCTGTCTATGAGGAGTGGGGATGGTGTGGGAGACGGACACATGGGGCCACAGCAAGCCTGGAGGGACTGTTATGGCCTTGCTGCCCACGGCTGAGGTGGCTGCTGGGTACCACCTTGCCTGTGTGCGCTGGTGGCTAGAGCAGCATTAGGCACTTTGTGGGCTTTGCTGGGAGGACTCATGAAGGGAGCGGAGCTTCCTTTGCTGGTTGGTTTTGGGATGCGCACAATCGTACCCCAGTGTTCAGTTGGCCACCTGCCCTGGCTTTCTAGGAGAACCCCCAGTGGTGCCTGCTGTGCTGACGTGAGTGACGGTGCCTCCTCTAACTCTCCGAAGGACCTGGTGTGTTAGAAACTTGACCTGCTCCACCAGTCCCACCCGGTCTCCAGAAGTATGACTTTTCCAGCTGTGGTGGTGGGGTCCAGTGCACTTTCCGGGGGAGGTGGGATTGTTCTGGTGTTCTTGGCCACAACCTTTATACTGTGTTCATCCTGTCGCTGGTGTGTCCCCTCCCAGCCAGTGTCTGTCAAGCTTGTTCTCAGGCAGGCCCTCTGCCAGCCCTCGGGCCATGCTGCACAAACCATCAGACCCCGTGCAATGCCCCCCCACCCTAAAATGCAATGTTTAGAAAATTTAGTTTATAATTTATAATTGACAGCAGGCCCTAACTGTGGTGTGAGGACCAATGTGACAGTGGTGTATAATAAAGTGACATGCATTTCAGCATGCTAGTGGCTGGCAGCTGAGAGGCCGGATGCTCACCTGGTGTGCTGACCCAGGGACTGGTAGGCAGTCCCTGCAGACAACCCAGACGACCTGGGAATTCAGACATCAGTGGGTGGCGGGATATTATACAGTGGCGAGCAATTCCTGATGAAGTTTCACATAAAAAGAAGTATGACTTTTTTAGATTCATGACAGTTGAAGTCCTGGACAATTCAAGTCACATAGAAATTATGCAGCGGTATTTCGCATGTGAACGTCACATGGAGTAAGAGTCTGGGCTCAGAGTGGCGAGCCTGCTTTCCACTTTTGACTGTCTGGGATGTTTGAAGTTTGTGCAGGAAGGTTTTTGTCAGATATGGCTGTCTCACACATTGGAGGGTGTCGCAGTCTCAGCCTGGACCCACTAGATCCCAGTGGTACCCCCATCATGGCAGCCACATGTTCCATTAGATCTCAGTGTACTCTGGCGCCTCCATGGGAACTGTCGCTCTGAGGGAGTCAACTCAGGATGGATGAGCCACCTTCCTGCCTGGGAGCCTCGTGTTCCTGATGATGGCCACCTGATGATGGTCATCTTGTGCCAGACAGGTCATCTTCAAAAGCTGGGGAAGGGGTTGGCACAATTGACTAGATTCCGCCGCTGCTCACTGGTGATGCGGAGACTTCGGTGAGCGGGGAGCTCTCCTGAAGCTGGAGGCGTGGCTTTGTTGTGGCCTGGCCTTGAGGTTGCCTGCTCAGATTCCACCAGCACAGGGAGGAGCTCAGGCCTCTGGGTCCCATCTGCCTGACCGACACTGCAGGGCCACCTTACCTTGGCCAAGCATGCAGTCATTTCAGGCGGCATTACCAGGTTTCTTATCGTTTTTATTTTTTTATTTTTTAAGTCGTAGTCTCACTCTGTTGCCCAGATTGGAGTGCAGTGGCAGGCTCAAGGCCACCGTAGCCTCGACCTGCTGGGCTCGAGCAGTCCTTCTGCCTCAGTCTTCCAGGTAGCTGGAACCACATGTGTGTGCCGCTACACCTGGCTAATTTTTTGATTTATTGTAGAGACACGGTCTCGCCAAGTTGCCCAGGCTGGTCTCAAACCCCTAGGCTCAGGTAATCCTCTTGCCTCCACCTCCCAAAGTACTGGGATGACAGGCATGAGCCACCATGCCTGGTAGCTTCCTCATCTTTAAGAATATGACTGCGGTCTGCCCCGGGGCTGCCGTGGCACCTGACATTTTTGCCATCTCGTGCTCATGAGACCAGGCAGCGCTGGACAGAGTATGGCCACTTAGCTGAGTGTGTGGTGTCTGACTGTGGAGCCATGTCTCTGTGATTTTCACATTGTCTGATGGTAGAGCTCTCGCATGGGGAGAGGCCTTTCCAGGCTACAGGGCCACTGTCCCTGCTGTACTCAGTGAGTTCCCGAATCCTGTGGTCAGGAGTTCCCCATGCCTCCCTCTGCCAGGGAGGGATTGTCATTTAGAGACCTGCCCTTGTGTTTTGTGTGTTCATAAGCAGTGAAATGAGAGGAAAGTTTTCTAATGTTAATCTAATATGAACTCAAATTAGTTCGCGTTTCTGGTTTTAAAGAACCATACTGGCAAGGTAAATTCAACCTATTGTAGGCCATTGCTCTGCTAAACTCTGGTTTCGCCATGTGATCTTTGAGCTGTGGCCACCGTGCTTTCTTAGCTTTGGCCCCCTCCCCTACTTTGGGGAGATGAATCTTCTCTCTTCCTCCTCTCTCTCTCTGTAATTTACTTTTTAGCCACTGCTTTGTTAAACTCTGGTATGTCCACGTGGCTCTTTGAGCTATGGCCACCATGTTTCTTGGTTTTGGCCCCTTCCCCTACCTTGGGAAGGTAAATCAATGTCTCTCTCTCTCTCTTTCTAATTTTCTTTCTAAATAAAGTATATTTTTTAATCTAAAAAAAAAATTCAACTTATTGCAGAGTCTACTTATCGTATGTTCATGCAGGGTTTATTAATGTTGCTAATAAAGCCATCACTGTTCAAAATTAATATAAGATTGGCAGAAGGAAGAATCATTCTTCCATTTTCTCATGAATTAAAATAGGTTATATTTTCTCTAGCAAAGTTTTAAATATGATACATTTGAATGACTTTTTTTTTTTTTTGAGCTGGAGTCGGACAATGTCGCCCAGGCTGGAGTGCAGTGGCACACTCACGGCCACCCCCCCCCGACCTGCTGGGTTCTGGTGATCCTTTCGCCTCAGCTTTCCAAGTAGTGAGAACTACAGGTGTGCGCTACCATGCCTGGCTAATTTTTTTATTTATTGTAGAGACGAGGTCTCGCCAAGTTGCCCGGGCTGGTCTCGAACCTGTGGGCTTGGTAATCCACTCGCCTCGGCCTCCCAAAGTGCTGGAATTACAGGCTGAGTCACAGAGCCCAACCTTGAGTGACTTTTTTTTTTTTTTGAGTTGGAGTCTTGCTTTGTCGCCCAGGCTGAAGTGCAGTGGCATGCTCATGGCCACTGCAGCCTCTATCTGCTGGGCTCTGGCAATCCTTCCACCTCAACCTTCCAAGTAACTGGAACTACAGGTGCAGGCCACCACTCACAGCTGATTTTTTTTTTAAATTTATTGTAGAGACGGGATCTCACCAAGTTGCCAATGCTGGTCTTGAACCCCTGGGCTCAGGCAGTCCTCTCGCCTCAGCCTCCCAAGTGCTGAGATTAAAAACTGAGCCACCGAGCCCAGCCTTGAATGACTTTTAAAGAAGATACTAAGTCTGACCTTTTTTTCTATATAAATTCTGAGAATGCAAAATTAAAATCAGCAGTTGAAAGCTTTTGTCATAAGATTGTGGGGAGAAATAGTGGATAAGGACGTACTCCCAGTCTATTATGACAACAGTTCCTTTAAATTAGAAAGCTACTAATTTGTAAACACATATGCGTGGTGGAAATTGCCTAAAACATGGGTAGTTGAATGTAGGAAAGGAAAATTCTTCAAAATAAGTTAAAGTCCTATAGATTCTGAGGCATCAAGGACTCCTGGGTTATTTATTTGAAACACAGGTTCATTGCATGGGAGTGACAGTTGGCTTTGCCCAGGCCCTGTGTTCCGTGGAGCCTTCTGAGCACCACCCACCTCTCCTTGCTGTGAGAGGTTTTTTGGGAAGGCTGAGTGGCATCTCACAAGACAGGGCAGAAGTCTCCTGTGGTTGTGGCAAGGCCTCCAGAGAGTGATGAGCAGCTGTCCCTGAAGGGACCCACGCCCTTCCATCTAGAGCGCTGCCTCTGCCTAGAGCCAGACTCCTTCAGTGCAGCAGGGACTGCAAGGGTCCTCCTGCTGCGCCTTGAAGTCCACCCACCTGCTGTAGCTCCTGATCAAAGCTGATGCGGCCCAGCCTACGCTCAGGGCCGAGGCCATCAGCTCACTCTTCTTGCCTGCCACACAAGGCCGTGGAGGACTGCCAGCCTCACTTGGCATTGTGGATCCAGATGGTCCGATTTGACACGTGAATGAGATTCTTTAAATAAATTCAAGAAAAAAGAGAAGGAAGAAAATGAAAACCTTTTTTCTTTGAAGCTAACATTTAATGACTGTAATGAAAACGTGAGGTTG